GCGTATGTATACTCGGGCCTTATGCAGAATGTTTGAAGGGGGGGTTATAATTTGTGAGATTAAAAGCCAACAAATATTGTGTGAAGCACAAAATCATGCTAATGCTATGGAAGTCTGAAGGCATGCCCTCCCCCCCGATAAAACTTTTAAAAAATAGGTGCTATGAAATTAAAATTCACAAACATCCATAAACAACTGTATTATAGCTATATTAGCATAATTTTTTTACATCACATAAGTAGGGGGTTTGACTGAACCTCCCCCACCTGTAAGAGTGTCGTAGGACCACGATTCTTTACAGTAGGTGTTTGTGACTTAATGGCGATAAATTTCAACAATAAACAAACAGCACACAGTCCATTTGTTTTAAAATAATATATTAAGACAAGTCAAATGTATATACAAAAGTTTGTTACACAGTTGAATCCAGAGATTCAAATAACTTTTTTAGTCAAAAGCACACACAGGCTGGTTTAGTTACTTTAGAACCCAACTGACAAGATGAATTATTCTTCTCTGTTATTACAATACAATCTGCAATTATTACACTTTAAAAGTTGCCACTATACAAACTTTATGGCTAAACTATGTTTATTTTTTTACTAATTTTTCTACATGTGTAAATGTATATATACTCTTGACAGTAGTCTAGAACTTTCCATACACTACTAGATATTATATGATGCACCAATACTCAATTAAAGCAAAGAAGAAAATTCAGAAGGTTTGAGTAACATGACATCAAATTTAAAAAAATTGAACTACGCAATAGCTTCCGACAATCTATGCAGAAGTGGTTTGAGCCATCACTTTTCTTCACAATTACAACTGTTGAACAGTAGGCCAACTTCGAAGGCTCAATGATTCTACTTTTTAATGTTACCTTGACTTCATTATTGATCAGGTCTCTCGTTGCATAGTGCATCTGGTAGGGCTTCATCTTGATTGGATCCATGGTCATGGGCTCGATCTTGTGTTGAATAAGGTCTACCTTGCCTGGTCTATCTTTGAACACATCTGTATACTGGCACAGGAGATCTTATAGCTCTTTCTTCTGTTTGGCAGTCAGTTCTTCACTGATGTTGACATCTTTGTATGTCTCATGTACACCCAGTGATCTTAAGTCTAATAGGTCTTCATCTTCTATGACAAAGTCACCATCTTCTGGTTCTGCATCTATAATAGCCACACCTGCCATGTTCATCTATACCTCTTATGTCTTCTTCCTTCTCAGTAGATTGGCGTGGAAGATCTTGGTCTTTCCATCCACTTTCACCGTATAGTCCGTTCTGTTGACCACTTCCTGTACATCAAAAGACCCTTTTCACTGCAGGGTGAGTTCGTTGTTGTATGTAGGTAGCAGAACTAAGACCTTCTCTCCGACCTTGAGACATTGACCCTTCGCCATATTGTCATAGAAGTGCTTCTGACTGCCTTGAGTTGTATATATAGTTTCTTGATCAAGTTGATAGGTCTCCTCTAGTCGGTTTCTGGGGTCTAATACATACTGGTATGTGTTCCTCACTTCTGACTTCTCCTACCAAAGCTCTTTTCAATATTTGCATCAGACCTCCTATTGTCCTTCTGTACAGTAACTCGAAGGGTGAAGATCCTGTACTTGCTTGTGGAACTTCTCAGTAAGCAAATAATACTGTTTGCAGGTACCTGTCCCATTCACGTGGTCTCTCCTGGCACATATTCTTAAGCATACTCTTTAAGACTTTTTACTCTCCCAAAGTCCATTACATTTGGGATGGTAAAGAGTTGTGTAGTGCTGATGAGTCTGCACAGTTCTTGCATTGGTCCTGAGGTAGACTGGGTCTATCTTTCACTCAATACTCCTTTTGAGAAGCCTACTCTGCAGAACACTTCCAGCAGTGCTTCTGCTAGTCTCTCTATCTTTGATAATGCTATGGCTTCTGGGTAATGTGTCACATAGTCTACTACTGTCAGCAAATACTGGTTGCCCTTGTCAGATACAAGTGCTAGTGATCAGACCAAGTCTACAGCTATTCTGCTGAATGGCTCTTATGAGTGGCATTGCACCCAGTGGCACCATGGCAACCTTCCCTCTAGTTATTGTCCTTTAGCAGATGTCAAATGTCCTGCAGAATCTGGTCACATTTTTTATAACCCCCACCAATGGAAGTTGCTGGTGATTTTTTCTACCATCTTCTTTGCGCATAGATGTCCTTCCACAACCGACTCCTGAGCCACCTTCATCAATTGCGTCTGGTATTATTTTGGTACTATGATCTGTTTAACTTACCCATAAGGACTGCCTTGATAGATATGGTACAGCATGCCCTTATGGTCCTCTGTTGTTGAAGTCCCTTTGTCTTGTTCTTGACTTTCTCCTGGGCACAGTTCCAAAGTTTCTGTAGTGGTGGGTCTTTCTTCTGTGCTTCTTTCAGTTCTTGTAGAACTACATTTGGGATGTCACTTTTCGAGATTTTCAGGGGCTTGATTTATTATTTGCTTTTCTTTTCTTGAGCTCTTGTGGTGACTGCAGATGCCTCACCAGTCTCCTTTCTGTCTGGCTTCTCCAAACTTCTACTGCCTGGTATATTACCAATCACCAAGTCATACATGGCTGAGTTCATACACATTGCATCAAGGTCTCTCATGTAGTATGGAATTCCAACTCTATTCTTGCGATGGGAACTTTCTCACTGTTCCATCAATAAGCACACACAGATGTACCTTGCCTGTCATCTGGTCATCATATAATAAACTGGTTCAAACTGCTGCACTACTGCACCCAGTGTGTCATAGGATTTTCACCTTCTTGTCTTTGACATAACCTTCACTTACTGGCATATTGTGATTTGTTGGCACCTCTTGATGTTTGTCACATGCTCCAATCACTATTGGTACTGTTGACCTATTTGCTAACTTGAGCTGACCATTAGTCGTACACTGATTAATCATAGTGACAGCACTTCCTTCTTGTGGTGATTCTGATGAGTGGTCTCAATTTTGTTTCTTCTGGCAGTGGCATTCATGGTGACAGTCAATCTGTTCTTGTTTCTTGCTAGCACAATCCTTATGGGTAGCTCCAGTTGCTTTATGTTGACATTTCTGTGGCTGCTTGTTAGTGACAGACTTGCACTTTCTCACAAGATGCCCCACTTTATAACAAGCATAGCACCTCCTCTCCCTTTTGTTTATTAATCTCTTGTCACCATTAGTGGCATCCTGCATCTGGTCAGTCACCCCTGGTTTTGACTTTAACTGGTAGTTCTTGGACTTTCCAGTTATACTCCCTCCATGGGCTTCCATATACTGTTCTTCCAGCTTGATAATCTCGTCCACGTCTTTTGGTGCTCTCTCTCCTTTAGGAACAGTGAAATTTCAGTTGAGCACATGATCATGAACTATTCCGGTGTTAGTAGATCTGGTAGTCTTTCAAAACTATTTTCACACTTGGCCATGTCAGTCCATATTGTGAAGTATTGTTGTAGATGTGCAAAACACTGATATTGCCAGCCAGGGGTACTATTTGTAGTACCAGGCTGTTGGTGCTAAAAGTCACTCACACCGGAAACCTATTTTTATGTGTTAATTTGACCTATCAGTCTGAGAGAGAAAGATTGCATATAATTTTTGTTGAAAAATGTCTTTTATTGCACAGTTGTAAGACATTGAACTCACAGTAGTATTAATATCAACTA